GAGTTTATAGGGGAATAACAATTGGACATTTGACAAGCTTTCAAATATTGATATTACTCACAGTGATCGGCTTGCGGATTTGCCCTGGAGCTTGACCCTACACACATTACTGCTCGAGGGGAATTCAAGATGTCAGTAATCCAAAATAAAGTTGGATTCCAATTCACTTTTCAATCTTTTTTTTTCTGGCCATGTTGCAAACTTGCATCAGCTCACTTTTCAATCTAAATACTTTTCAACAGTAAACATTTTCAATATATTGTAAACCCTGAATGATATTAATTTTATGTATTGTATTTGATCATTGTAGCTTCCATAGATGCTTGTAATGAACTGATGGCATAGTCGTTGATATTATCATGTTGTTGCTACACTTGCTGCATCAGAAGAAAGCTTCGCAAGATGCTTAACATCACGATATCTCTCGTCTTTTTTTTACTCTTTGATTTAATTTTTGTAATTTGAATTATATTTTTTATAACCCGCCAATCCGCCCGAACCACCAAGGCAAATCCGCCATTATTTGCCAACTGAACCGCCGATTTTCGATAAGAAAAATGGCAAATTCTAGTGGCACTTTTATCAATCCGCCACCGGCCATACGGTTTCTATTTTTCTCTCAAACCGCACCGACCCGCACCGCGCACACCCCTAACTGCTCCGGTCAACCGACCGGACGTCCAGGAGGACGACTAGGTTAGCCAATTTTCCCATCTAGAAAGAAGTTTTCAAAAGTGGATGTGGAATTATAATTTAAAAAATCAAAATAAATACCACACTGAAATCAATGGATAGAAATGTGTTTGGAGAGCTTCTCCAAACACAACCTTTATTTTTCGAGAAAACTCCCACTTTCTCATCTGGGTTGGGAGTTTCTCAACTCACCATCTTCTTTCGAAACCCAGTTGTTCTGCTTACCTCCCCCTTCCCCTCTCCATCTCCCTCCGCCTCCGCTTCGACTAAGAAAAGGTAGGTGAAATATTAATAAAATGTATCTACATTTTACATAGTTTTACACATTTTTTCTCTTTTCCTTTCCAAATCTCTTCTCAAATCTTCTAACCAAATACAACATAAAAAACAAAAAAGATTTGAAGTATATCTAAGGCAAACTCGATGGCGATGAAGTGGACAATGACGCTATTTGCGGTGGAGATGAAGTGACAAGTGAACTAATCGAAGGTGGGGATGGAGGAAGTGGCAGAGAAGTGGGTCTCTTTCTCGATCTCTCGATCTTCGCAAGGGTGAAGAGGAAATATAGAGAGTGAAGAGTTAGCTGGAGTGAAGGGGGAAGAGAGAGAGGAGAGAGGCTCGCACCAGTGAAGGGTGTGTGATAGCGAGATGGGGAGGGGCAGGAATGAATGGAGATCGCCGCTGGCTGAAACTGGTGGTCACTATTTTATTTTTCATATCCCAAGACCCACATGTTCTTATCCCGATTTCTTGAATGCTCATTCATAAACTCATGAAGTTTATTAGGAGGAATGAAACATTCTGCTCCTCTTTTTTATTTTATTTTATATTTTTGTTGACCTCTTTGTTGATGAGCAAGGTTCTGAAAAGCGGTTGTGGTCGCTGTAATGGTGGCAGTGGCGCGGTTGCGATTGCGGGGTGTAAAGGTCGTAGCGTAACGGTTGCGGTAACCGAAACTGTGAATTTTTTTATTTTTCTCACAATTTGAAAAAACTTACCGATACGCATATTTTTTTTCCATGATCATATTTATTAGATTTAAAATAAATATTGATCAATTTTTGTAAATTTTTAAGTATGATCCAGTATATTTCATATTTTTAACTCACTATAAATTGATTTTTTTACATTTTATTTTAATAATTAATGACTTTATATTATACAAAAAAATCAATCACTAACTATTATATATAAGATAAACAATGAAAAAAGTAAGAGAATTAATAAGAGCTTAACTATATATATATATACATATTTTAACCAAGCCAAATAGATAATGACCACACTTATTATTATTATTTTCGAAAAATATGTAGGTAAACACACACAAACAAAATGGTTGAGTGATAGCAGCTAAATAGAATAGTATAGGTCTTACAAATTCAACAAATCAATAACATATTCTTCATCTTCACTCTTCTCTCTCTATCTTTTGCTCATCAATCTTCTCTCTTTATCTTTCTTCATCTCTCTATCCCTCTTCCCCAGTTTTCAGTTTTTTTTTTTTTGTGTGTTTTTTCGAAAAACACAATTCGGAACCGTTACGTAACAGTGCGAAACAAGCCGTTACGGCTATTACGACACCATTATGATCGCTACGGCAGCCACTACGGCCGACACACCTGTGAATCTCAATCACACTGCAAAAGCGGCCGTAACAAGTGGCAGTAACCACCACAACCGTTACGTAACGGCGTTACGTAACAATTGCGGCCGCTTTTTAAAACCTTGTTCATGAGTTTTGTTCTTTCTGAAAGGTAATCAGCCACATAAGATCTTTGGCTACATGTATACATATATATATATACATATATATATTCCGAGAGTTAGACATACATACATATATAAAACATACTTATATTTTATAATATACATATATTCAGAGAGTTATATATATATATATATATATAATATGAGATTAAATTAAAAATAGAGTTAAGAAGTAAGAAAATTATGTGATTAAATATTAATTGTATAACAGAAGAGATAGAATGAGATAATATAAAGGCAAAGGAAAAAACACAGAAGGATATTAAGGTTACTTTATACTTTCGTTAACAATGTTATTATTGTACTTTAATTCAAAATTACATTAAAGTAAGTGACTATTTTTAAATAATAGGGGGATAAAATACAAATAACCTAAACTACATAAGATAAAGTGAATTTTACCATTTATCTTTTAATCGCTCAGTATTTGTCTTTATCATGTTTTTTCAATGATTATTTTTTACATGAGGAATTACATATTAATCATGTATGTCCATGTAATCAGTGATATGGAGAGATGAGATATGAATTACATATTAAAATTTATAACAAATAATAGTTGTAATTTCTAATATTATAGAACTAATTCATATTTTAAACAAATCTTATAGGTGTATTTATAAATTTTTTAAAAATAAAAGATTTATATTTCATAATTGATCAAAATATTTGCGTAATTATGAAAAAACTTTTACTCAACATATATGCCACCATTAATAAATTATTCAAAATAAAGGACAAAATTAAAAAAAAAAAAGAAATAAAAAAGCCATAAACAGGATAAAGCTTCTTATATATATGGATACATATATATATATATATATTCAGAGAGTTAGATATATATGCATATATAAAATATACTTATATTTATAAGATATATGTATATATTTTATTATCTTATATTATACATTATATTTTTTTTATAATGTAATATGAGATTAAATTAGAAATAGAGTTAAGAAGTTACAAAAATTATGTGATTAAATTAAATTAATTGTATAATAGAGGAGACAGAATGAGAAAATATAAAGGCAAAGGAAAAAATAAAAGGTGTTAAAGTCATTTTATATTTTCGGTTAACAGTGTTAATATTGTACTTTAATTTAAAATTACAAGAGAATATGTGATTATTTCTAAATAATAAAAGGATAAAGTGCAAATGACGTAAACACGGAAGATAAAGTAGATTTTACCTTTGTTTTTTAGTCGTTGAGTATTTTTCTTTATCATTTTTTTCAATGATTATTTTTTTACCTAAGGACATGATTTTGCGTTTTCTTCTTTAATCGTTGAGTATTTGTCTTTATCAATTTTTTAAATGATTATTTTTTACCTAAGGAATTAATCATGTATGCCCTTGTAATCAGTGATACATGATATATCGCAATTTTAATTTGACATAGGCTTGACTGGAAGTGTAATCATCTATTTTAATTTGACCCATCTACTTCAAATGGGTCTCAGTCCAACAATCACAGTTCATTTTTGCTAGGTTATGTGTATCTTATAAACATAGCTCATCATTCCATCAAATTTCTTTTCAAAAAATAAATAAATAAATGATTTATTTTTAAAATTATTTTTATCGTTCAAAATTTTATTATGAATATTCAATCAATATAATTTTAACATGTATGACTTAATAAAAATGAATGATTTAAATCAAAAAAATCTCGTGATGGACGAGAAGAAATTCAATGAAACAGTTATACTGTTATTTTGGTGATATGATATAAGAAATCAGTCATTGCCTTCCATGTATATGTATTCAGGCCTATTGTATATATATGTCAATAAGTAGGATGAGTTGAATAGGTGGTTACAATTACACAGTGGGAATCACTTTTTTTTATTGGGTATATTATTATTAAATAATGATATCACGTATAGATAATGACGTAATATCATTGTTGTATTAAGGTTTTGGAATCTGAGATCCCAAATTAGGGTCCTAAAATGGGTATGTGTAATGAAAATTAAATTAATAAAATATGAGATACACAAATGGAATGGATTTAAGCCATTAATTCTTGTTTTTAGGTAAATTCGGAGTAAATAATTCTAAAATTGTAGTATTGTTGCAAAGTTTTACTCCGTCATGGACCTCAACATCTCTAATTATTGTGTATAGAAAAATTTGATAGGTTAGATTCACACCTGTTAGCTTCCATTCTTTTATATATAGGTTACAGATATATTGGGTGTTTGAAAAGTAGTTATTTTAGAGACTTTTTGATTTTTTAGTTATTTTCGTAGGCTATTTTAATTTTTGCGTTTGGAAAAATGTGATGGATTTTTATTTGCGTTAATGTTTTGAAAAATGTGTTGAAATGATATTTGAAATTAGTAGTTTGGGATATAACTTGGGGGGCACCCCAGTGGCAGGTGGCACACTGCCAGTGGCTGGAATCTAAGAAAAAATCTAAAAAAAAAAAAAAAAAAATTGTTTTTTGACCAATCACCAATGACCCCAACACCCCACTGGGGTCTAAGTCATTTTTCATATAATTATAGTATCAATGTGATTTTTTTGGTGTTCATATAAAATCTGACAAAATTTAATAAAATGAGTAGTTTAAATTATAGAAATAAGTTTCATACGGAGACATACAAAATCTAACACTGCCCTCTGTGGACTTTATGTGGACTGAAAGAAAAGCAAATGCTTCAAATCATCGAAATAAATTCAGTAATGAGTCACGAAGCCCAACAGTACCTTATGTGTCGACCGGAGAAAGGCTCATTCAAATTAATTAGAATCAATGAAATTGAGTTATAGAAAACAGCATGTTGTATAGAAAGAAATAAATAGTGGTAAAAGATTGAATTACCCTTGTTCCTTGTTGTAATAGCAACGTGCATGAGTGGTTGGCCATCCTTGAGCATATTTTGAGCGTCAACATTCGAAGCAACGAATTGCATCACAAGCTCAAAGAGCTCCTCATGCCCTGCTTCGGCGGCCATATACAAGGCTGACTTTTTTCCCAGATTCGGAACACATGAGGTTATTTGACTTCCAGGCCGCTTAAACAAAAACAAAGCCACCTCGTATTGATGATCCTTTACGGCCATATGCAATGGTGTATTCCTCTGTTTATTTTGCCCCTTTGTGACATCTAAAATGTCCTGCTCTGCTTCAGTTTCTCGCCCAGAAGAAATCGCTAACCGTAAAGCATTAGTGATCAAAGACTGGACTATAGATAGATGACCCCCAGCTGCAGCAAGATGTAGAGGATGATCATCGTTGTAGTTTTTGCTCTTGAAAAGGTCTGGGGAGCGACTTTGGATTGGTTCCACTAGATGGTGATGGCCTAGTCTTGCGGCGATATGAAGAATCGTGTCATCTCGCGGGGTGAGTTCGTTGAGAAGATTGAGTTCAGAGTCTTGTTGTAGTGCTGTTGTCAGGCCATCGATGTCTCCAGCTATAGCTGCCTTGTATATTGCAGCTTCCATAGAATTAGATCTCCCAAAATCAGACGTCTTATATTCGTATCTGTCATGTGTATCCCGATCCTTTGTTTCAGTAACATATATTCCCTTCTCTGCTTCCATCTGTATATCAGATAAAGCAACCTGCTTTACAACGGCCCGCTTTCGAGCCGACCTTACAGGCTCTGTAGGCATTGTATCCATTTCAGACGTACGGCTTGCACCTCTCTCTCTCTCTCTCTCTGTGTTGTGTTTGGTTGTTGTACTCCTGTGTTAGTGTGTTAGTATTTGTGTGTGGTTAATATAACTCTCCGCATATCATATATATATATATATATATGTACATAGAGTGTGTTTGGTTGTCGTAGTGTTTGCGTGTGGTTAATATAACTCTCCGCATATCATATATATATATATATATATACGGTTCCGATAGGTAGCTCGAATTTGGAGGTTCGAATTTGGTTCGAATTCGGAGAAGAAGAAGATGGAAGAAGAAGAAGATGAGAAGGAGGAAGGAGGAAGAGGGAGGAGGAGGACTGGAGGGGGCATAATCACAGGGGGAGGAGGAGGCGGAGGCAGGGCCGGAGGCGACGGCGGTGGTGCTGCGATGATCGCTGATGCTACGACGATCGGCGGCAGCGAGGCGACGGTGGTGGTGCTGCGACGATCTCCTCTCCTCCTCTCTCTTTCTCCCTCTCTCCTCCTCTTTCTCTTCTCCTCTCTTCTTCCTCTGCTCTTCTCCTGTGTTCAACGAAGAAGAAGAAGAAAAGAAAGAAAGAAAATGAAGAGAAAGAAAAGGCAGGAAAAAAAAAAATTTCGAAACCCAAAACGACGTTGTTTTGGGTTTCGAGCCGAATTTGGGCCACCGAATTCGAGCTACGAGTCATTTTCCATATATATATACATAGAGAGAGAGAGAGAGAGAGAGAAAGGGGAATTCCATCCCCGAGCTATTTGGGTCTGTCGGTTTCAATAATCTGAACCGTTTATTTTGTTAAGTATTTGGTATATTTGTTTCACAAAAAAAATTAGACCGATCTAATAATTAGAACTTCTTCAACCTATCATATTTTTCTCAAAAAATAAATGACAATTGTGTTTTTAAAAAGTGAATCATATATTTTTTTAATGACAAAAATAATAAATTGAACAAGTTATAATTATCGAATCGACCTAATTTTTTTTTTCTTTTGCAGTGTTAGTCCTCAGGCCATCGATGATTCCAACCATAGCTGCCCTGTATATTGCAACTTCCATAGAATTAGATCTCCCAAAATCAAACGCCTTATATTCGTATCTGTCTCCTCTATACAAGTCCTCTCGATTAATAAAACCTAACCTCCTGTCTATTTCCATCTCTATGTCAGATGCAGCCGGACTCTTTTTTGTACCCATTTCAGACGGGCGGCTTGCACCTCTCTCTCTCTCTCTCTCTCTCTCTCTGTGTGTGTGTGTTTGGTTGTTGTCCTCCTTTTGTGGAGTCCAGTTCCTCTCCAACTAGTGTCTCCAGCCTTTCCTCTGAGTGACGGCTCAGATTGAGCCACGTCACCCCACTCAAATATACGGCTCAGATTAACTTTAAAAAAATAATAATGATAAAAGAAAAAACCAAATTTCAAAATCAGAAGCAAATTTCCTGTCTCTCTCTCTCTCTCCCCTCTCTTAATTAATTTTCCATAGATGCTCTACTTTTGATCTTCTTCCTTTCACCATCTCTCCCTTATTAATTTTGTAGCGACTCTAACTTTCTTGAGTCATTATTTATTATTATTATGATTATTATTATCTTATTTTATTTTTGACTTTATTAATTGTGTGGTCACATGAGAATTTAATGTGATATTTAACTAACTTAATGTTTTATTTAATTAATCCAAATATTTATATATTTATATTTGTTATATAAAAAAAAAAAGAGAGGTGTATTTATATTTGTTATTTATATATATATATATATTATCTTATATTTATATTTATATATATTATAATTTGTTGTATAACATTATATAATAGTTTATTAGGTTATTATGTATGAGATTTAGGTTTATATATATATGCCAGACACTCAGGGTAGCTTCTTTTTTAAGTTTTGTGAAGTGATTCTTACATACCTTTCTGAATCTGTGGTTCTTGTATTTATACTTGCTTTTTGGGCCTTGGGGCCTGAGTCTACTTTTATCCCATTCCCCTTTTATTCATTCAGAGCCACTGACCTCCGTCTATTCGGCTTTCCTAGCGTATTCGGCGTCCTAGTCACGCAATATGAAGCCGGATAGTATCTAATTTCTGGAGTACGCATCTTCCGACTCTTCTTCTTATTTGGCTCCCACATTTATATATATTGTAATTATGTTGTATTATATAATATAATATATTATACTAGTTTATTAAGTTATTATATATTGAGATTTAGGTTTATAATATAATATATTTAAGAAGTCAATTAGGTTAGAAGTTAATGAAAAGAAAAAAAAAAACAAGGAGAAAAGAGTGCTGTGTGCGGCGGCAAGCCCGAGAGAGAGAGAGAGAGAGAGAGATTGATCATCAAAGAGAAGAAAAAGGAAAAGAAAAAAGAGTGGTGTGTGCGTAGCGTGGAAGAAGAAAAAAAAGGAAAAATGAAGAAAAAAAAGATTAGGTTTTTGTTTTGGTGGTTTCATTAGTTCTTTAAATAATTCTTTGATCTTCAAAAAAATATTGTGAGTACAAAATCCACTTCTCTTGATTTATGTTTAATTCTTTGTTTTTATTTATTTATGTTTATTTATTTGATATTAGTTTGATTTTGTATTTACATAAAGATGATAGATTGATTTTAATTATTTTGATTAGTTGTGTTTGTAAGGTTTAGGGTTTTTAGATAATTGATTTATTTTAATTATTTTGTTTAGTTGTGTATGTAAGGTTAGGGTTTTTAGTTGATTGATTGATTTTAATTATTTTGATTAGTGGTGTATGTAAAGTTTAAGGTTTTTAGATAATTGATTGATTTTAATTACTTTAATTAGTTGTGCAGGTAAAGTTTAGGGTTTTTAGATGATTGATTAATTCTAATTATTTTGTTTACCTGTGTATATAAGGTTTAGGATTTTTAGTTGATTGATTGATTGATTGATTGATTTTAATTATTTTGATTAGTTGTGTTTGCCAATTTTAGGATTTTTATATGGATTTATTTTATATTTGTAATCACACTCATGGTTATATGAAATTAAAATTAATTAGGAACTCATACATAAATTCCTCATACTCTACCATGACTCCATGGATTGTTGTTTTATTTAAGTGTTGGTGAGAAAGAGTGTATAAAAAAAAGTGAGGATTATGAGATTTATTTGAATGCCTTAGACTTGGCATTGTTATGTTTATTCCCATGAGTGAGATGTTGTGTATATATATATTGTTGCCTCATTCTCATGAGTAGACGAGTGCTTTGATTTACGCGCGTACGTATATGCTAACTATCCGGGGAGTGTAAGTCAAACTCGGGACGATATCCCCGTGCAAGTTTGGCTTCGGAGCGGTGTTAGGTATACTGGAGGCACATGGGATATATGTGTAGGCTGGAAGTGGAGGGCCGAAGTGGTGGAGTTAAGGTACAAAGAAGTTAATTATGAGTTTATTAGTATAGTGTGAATTGTATTGATTTGTACATGATAAAAAAAATAGTAAACGACCTCGATAAATTATGAAATTTGAGCAGAGACATGTACACGTGATTCTAGACAACTTTTGTGTTTTAGTTTTTTATTAAAAAAATCGATTATAACTTATAATCGGATGATCTTGGTTATTGTAGTTTTGATTCATTTAAGCAATACAGATTTTAGGGGCTGTTTTAACCCATGAAACAAACTCATTTTTATTGGTTTTGCATAAACTGAAGTAAAACATTATTCTACACACTTTTTGTGTTTTGAACTTTTCCGAAAAAAATCATATTAGGGCAGTTTTTGTACATTTTCAGTTTCAGATTTTTCGATTGAATTCCGTCTAGGTTTTTCTATCAAGTTTTTCTCTCAGCATGTTCAGTTTATGTTAAATTCGTTTGTGGTTCCCTTTAGGAAATTTGATTCTGTACAACTTTCGTTCTTTGAGCTTTAGTCAATTCGAATTAGTTAAGCATGAAACGGTATTTTTTTTTTTTATACTTCTTCAACAAGTTACTTATGATTAAATTATACTAATTTCATTTTCTTTTGCAGGATGGTAGGTCTTACTAACTTTTTATGCAGGGCTAGCCCACCATATTTTTATTTCTTTTTTGTTTATTTTATAATCAATTTATATTTCGTTGTGTACAGACAAGAAACTAAATGCCACCGTATCTTGAGAAACTACCCATTCGTCTCGGTGCGGTTGGAACTACTTGTCTTGTCTCATAATAAGAATTTAATGTATTTTTGTTTGTGTCTAGTGGACATGTGGGTGTTGAATCTTGTACTCATACCAGTATATCTGTATACTGACCCGTTTTGTCTCTTAGCAACTCAGGTGCGTTCTGTTTGGGTGCAGCTGAGCTTCCTTTGCAGGATTAGTTGAGGCTACGGTGGTGAAGTGGAGTAACTATAGTTTTTGGACATATCTCTTGAATTTATTTTGTTTTCTTGAGCTTAGAGTAGAGATTAGTTTATGTATTTATTATTTTTTTTATGACTTTAGTATTGGGATAATTTGACATGGTTTGTAACCGTACATTATTTAAGTTATTTTGACTATGTATTGTTACTTAAATGTTGAGGTATTGGTTAGTTATGGAATTATGGTAAATATTTTGGTTGGCGTTTAGTTTTTTGTTTCAACCCTAGGATTTGGATGATGCAATATTGATTGGGGATTAGCCCTAATTTGATATTTAATTGTCCAAATTTTGGGGCATGACAGTTTGGTATCAAAGATCTAGGTTACCCTAGACTTGTGAGAGTTTAGGTGATCCTCGGATTGTGGAAACATGGGTTAGTTGGTTTAGGTTAGTGGTTGAATTTATTCTAAGTATTCATGAACGAATTTTTGTGTGTTTAACTTTAAGGTGATCGTTGGTAGGTATCTTTAATCTTTTTCAAGAACCTGTTAGAGTACTTTTTGAAACTGGTGCACCTCATTCTTTTATATCTAGATAGTTTGTAGAAAGAGAACACCTTGTAACTACCTCCTTGTCTAGACCTATTCGTGTTGAGACCCCTTTAAGAGGGGCAATTACTCTT